ACATTGGAACAGGCTGCCCAGGGAAGTGGTTGAGTCACCATCCCTGGAAGTATTTAAAAGACGGGTAGATGAGGCACTTAGGGACATGGTTTAGTGGGCATGGTGTTGTTGGGTTGATGGTTGGACTCGATGATCTTGGAGGTCTCTTCCAACCTTAATGATTCTATGATTCTATGATCCCCTAATCATGCAGACAGCCCTAATTTTCCTCTATTTATTTCACTAGCCTCAGAAAAAAGTGTAATCTTCTCTCTCAGTATAAAGAAACAGCAAAAATAAAAGCTGTCTTTGTTATTTAACATTTAACATATGCAACTATTCTATTTGTTGGCATCAAATGAAGTGGTTTGCCTGGAACAGTTAAGCTAGAACTGTATGCAAATAGATGATGATTTCAATTTTGCACTCTAAAATATTGATTTGGCCTGGAAAACAGTCCAGGAATCTAAGATGCTTTGAATTCCTCCTGAGAGTTACCAGTATAGCTAACATACTTTTATCAGCTTACACATAAAATGGGGAAAATAGCAAATACCTTCATACCCATAGAAAACACACTTAGACTGCAACGAACTTGGCAATAAAAATGCACATAACCCAGAGAATGCTGACTGGAAAGATTAAAAACCACTGCTAAGAATTAGTATTCCTTAGCTTTCAAACAGCCCCACAGTAAGACAAACGCTTTCTCCATGTTTCTAGGCAATCCCTTTACTTTCAATTAAGGAAAGATACTTCCAGTATTTCCTCCTGAAGTGCCAAATTTGTATGTGGCTAGAGAACTGCATTGATCACATGACCCACAGGAGTGTCCTTGCACTGAGGGGACAGCCTACTGTTAGAAGGTAAATAAATAAAACTGTTAAAAGGATACAGTAAGGTGTGGCTACTGACCTGATATACAGTAGTTTAACACCTGTGACAGTAAAAAGCAAATTTTTGCTACAACTTACTCTGTTAACAGGCAGGCTACGTTAACCACTTAATCACTTTCAGTTACTGACAAAAAAAAACAGCAGGAGAGGTGCACAAAGTAGCCTCACCGTGCTCTGCAAAATAACTATTGAAAAGACGTGACACTTATAGCAGACTAATACCTAACTTGCACAGTAATTGATATAGAAACACTTTTTGAACATAAGTAAACAATGACAAGATTGATTAGAGGAACTCATAATAGCATTTGTAAGGCATTGCAGTCTATGATCTATCCAAGCAATATGTTATAAACAGTTTTAAAAGTTACCTATATAAAGGGAAGACTTGTGTTTTGGGACACTATCATCAATAAAAGCTGTCCCCAACGTATACAGTGGAGTTCCTCCAACTCCCAGCAGCAGCTGTCCCAGGATAAAGACATACAGATAGTTGGGAAGTGAAGACTTTGTGCTGGCACTGCAAGTGAAGTTAGCAGAGCTTGTTCCTGGAATTCGACAGGTGTCTGAAAGAGAGACAGCAAGTCTTTAAAATTCTGTTACCCAGCTCATCACAGTCCACCTGAAGAAAAACCTGTACTGAAAGCTAAACTACATATGAAGTGCTGTTAGTGCCAGGCTCCCATTTTAATCTTCAGGCCTACTAATATACTCTATATGACAGTGCCCTAACCTTCTAGGATATCATACCCCTCAAAAGAAATACTATCACATCTTGGTTTTTGTTTCCTTGCCAGGAAGGAAAGATGGATAAAATAATCTTATTAAAACATTTTGGCTTGTTTGAAAGCATTATTGACCAGATGTATGCAAAAAAAACTGTCAAATGGTCATTCAGCAGGTTAGTGAATACTCCTAGGTAACAGATGCTTCATTTTGTTCTTGTACTTTATAATGATTCTGAGGAGCACTAACAACAACTTCCAGAGTGAAGAGCAGAGCAGCCTGAACAACCTGAGGAAAGTTGGACTACTGGAGAGGAAAGTGCAGTCTACTGGAGAGGAAAGTGCAGTCATCAGAGTCACAAACAAAGATAATCCTCCCTTCTCACACACTGCTTTGAGAAGTGTTTCCCTCAAAAAAACCCCAACAACTTAAAAACCACGCCACTATCTCTCATAGAGCACACACTGCTGTATCTCCAGAATGAGAAGTTGATCTAAAGCCTCTGTACTTGTCCACACACACAAAGAGGTAAGCAGAGGCAGAACAGACTAAGGTTGCGCCTGCTCTTGTAATGTTTGGCACTATGAGGAGGGAAGAGAAAAGAGGAAGTGAAGACAGGGAGTATGTTTTCTCTTCTCCTTCCTCTTGCTATCATTGCACATTTAGTGGCAGACAGTCCCAAGTGACAAGATCAAAAAGAGGAGCTTGGTTCTTTCCAGGTTTTTCCACGGAACAGCATAAAACCCTAAGGAAGAGGATAAACCCATCAGTTTGGTAGAAACATGCCATACTGAGCAAATATGAAAACACCCTTCAGATCAGATGAGTAGACTGATTAATTCTCAATATTTTGCTACAAAATTATTACATCATTTCTCTCAGGTCCTTTTACATTTGAGAAGACTTTTTACTTAAGCAAACAAAGGGCAAGCTTGTCCACACTTCAGGTTCACAGGACATAAAACACAAGGAAGTGCTTGCCACACAGCACATATTCAAAGAGAACTGTCTACACTGTTAGATGTTATCATAAAGGCATCCATGGGTTTCATCATGCCTTCCTCCAGAAGGAACAGCACCATAGTGGTGGTGGAGTCACGTAGCACACAACAGGTGATTCAGTGCTGTTGCAGACACTGGCCAACACAGTGATGGGAAATTCCCACAGAATGATGGGAAAACTTCAAGAGGAGGAGTCATTAAGATTTTTCCTTCCTTTCCACTTAGGAACAATACTCATTTTAATGCTGTACTGAAGCCACATGGGGAACATCTTATTATGAATCACTACTCTGAAAATTAAAGTTTTTAGAGTATATTTTCCATTTGTTGTCAATCTGCCTTCTTTAGCAACATTGTTCTTTTCTGCAGGAAATTATGTCTTAAATCAGGTTAACTTTGTACTATTTACATGCAGAGCATCTAAAACAGACTACAGAAGGACACCATGTCCTACAATATCTTGTTAACATACACATATTCGTGTACAGCACATATATAGAATATATCTGTAGTTATAAGTTAGCCTCTAATACCTATTGGGCAAATCTAAAACAGCATTTAGCTAGTTATTTTATTGTAGTACACAAATAATGGTATCTTGTTAAAATATACACATCAGAAAACAAGAAATGCAGAGCAAGAAAACGCCATGAACGATGTTAAACAACAAAAGTGTAGCCTAATTTGAGATGAGAAATAGCTTCATGAAATAAACAGATTACATACGGTAATAGCAATCAAACTCTGACAGACTGTGGTTCTTCATGAATCCCCATCTCCACCCCCAATGTCTCAGTTCATATCAACCTAAAAGCCTGTGCCATTGTGTAACTAATTGATTATAGCCTCTCTCCTTCAGTTTTCTAGCTCTTCAATTTATGTGCCCTAGGAAATTTATCGTGACATTGAGATGAGAGAAGCTTATGACACTAGTTTGTTTTCAGAACCACATAATCAGGTCTAACTACAGAATTAAGAGAACCGTCAATATGCATTTCAATACAATTATAATCCTTTTATTTGCATCAGCTATCAGACCTTTTTTTTTTTTAAAGTCAGCAAGTACACATGCACTTACTGAGTGGAGTCATGGACCATATTTCATGTTTCAAAGAAACATTTTAAAAGCAAAGATGATTTACCACAAAACTATGAGATCAGTTTAAACCAGCATAAGCCAAAACTGCCATCAAACAACAGTTTACTCTCTCTACCTCAGCCATTTACATTATCCCCTTCTTGTACCAGTCCAAGGTTTAAACAGATTGGTAAAGTGATGCAGATTAAATCTAACCTGGATTAGATCCACAAGCCTGTTTGCTGCTGTCATAAGAATGGTGGAGAGAGAAGGCACTGGCTTTTACATGATCAAGAAAGTCTAACTGAGATAAGCCAAGCTCTGGGAGAAGTTTAAGATGGGTGGCTGACCATTTTTAACTACCTTTTGTCATTAAACTTGTTTTCCCTTCTAAAAGTCAGTGGATTAGACTTACATTTTATATTCCTCCACATCCTCACAAAAAAGTTATCTTCATTCTGTCAAATGAAGATCTGCATTTCATATTTGCTGTGACAGACGTCTTTTACGAATTTAAACATGTTTCAATAAGATCTGAGACGGAAGTTTAAAAGTACATTGCTTTAGGCATCTGCAGTTTTTACAGTCCTCTGTGCCGTCTACAGGTAATCAAATACAGAATGGTTTCATTACAGACAAACCACTAGATGGAGCTCCTGACTACAAATACCAGAGCCAGCTAAAACACTGAAGACCCTATGTAACCTAAAAAAGTTATCAGAACAAATAGCTCATTACATCTAGGTTACATATTTTGAGTCTGAAGCCTTTCTGGAGATTAGCCAAGACATGTTTGCTGTGGCTCAAAATTTTTGTAAATAAGTAGACCATTAGTTAGCTACTCTTTCAATATGAAATGGATTAAACTATTTCTAAAGAGTGTTATTATGATAAATATTTCCAGTGGAATGGTTTTGTAAGTAGGATGTGTATATACTCAGAATAAAAAAATTAGTATCTCAAGGTAAAACAGGAAGTTCCAGGAATTCTCTAAGCCTTATACTGGAGGCTAGTTGTGTTTTGTATTCTAGACTAGATCTATTAATTAATCTGGCAGCCATATCAAATATTGCACTGAACTACACTTTAATGTTGTCCTGCACTGTACTTACATATAAAAGATGAACATAAATAATCAAGTAACCAACTAGGACCTGTTCAAAAATAAATTAGGTCATAGATTTTAATACAAAGCATCAAATAAAAGAGTTTACTCCCAATGCATTAAAATCTCTATAAGCTATTCATCCAAACAAATAAGCAACAAGGAAGGTTTTTTGGGGTGTGGTGCTATTAAATTCTGCAACCAAAGTGTAGTTAAGATGCTTCATCAACATCAGAACTAGCTAAACCAGACATCCTATAAAATCATTTACTGCAGTTAACTTAACTGTTACAGGATGCTGTTGCACAGCACCTGCAGATTTACATTGAGTCTGTTATGGTGCAGACATTCCCTGCACTCTGTAGTCATTTATCTTTGATAGCATTTTGTTTAAGTCAGCATAAGCCCTTAAATCTGCTCACCACAGTCACAGCATAGGTAACTGCATTACAGCAGTAAAAATAGCATGAATTCAGTCATCTTACAGTGCCATGGAGAAGAATGCACACGTTCCACTTAAAGCTTTCCCTTTTTTGTCAGAAGTCCACATAGAACATGAGCCCTAAGTTATCAACACCTACAGCATCTTTAATGGTGGATGAAGTGGCAAATGTTTGATGAAACAGGAACAGATTTTTTGAGATTTTGACCAAAATTGGTAGAAGGGGGAAAGATCAGTTGCAGTAGTTGGCCATCTCCCTTCACACTCCCACCCTGTCAGTATCTTGTTTCAATTACAGAAACCTACAATCAGGTTGGAACTTTCTTTGTATTAAATTCAGCTTCCCTTCCATACTAGTGAAGTAGGGCGGGTAATACTGAAACTGTAGAGAAATGGGACTGTAACAGAGCCAGGAGCAAGTAAGCTGTTGCCCCTCTACTAAGGGGTAACAAGTAATTATCTGCTCATAGCCTCCAAACACTGAAGAGTTTTTTCTTTTGGCCTTGTTCCATTAAAAGTTCAATTAACTTCTGCCTCAGATGCTCATTTATTAGATGAGGAACAATAGCTTACCAAAGTTATTTAACTAATGGTCAATGTCTGGACAGCTCATGGAAGAGTGATATGTGATTAACACTTAAAAAAACTAATTTGAGAATCAACAGCTGGAAGACTGAGAACCTTCCATCAGATTGCTTAATAGCTACCCATTTTTTTTAGTGAGCACTCTAATATGCTTAGTCATTGAAGGCATAAATCTGATTAAACACTGCAATAACAATTAATACAATCCTAAAAGATTAAGTCATCCTGCTTTAAAGATATCTGGATGTTTCTTTGTTAATTACAGGTGTGCCACTAAGTTGAGATACAAATAATTGGCATTAAGCAGACTGCACTTAAAGTCTTGTTTTACAAGAAAAGATATGTAAGATCTGAGAGCTGATTACTCCCGCTATTTCAGTACTGCTTAGTTCAGTATAATTCAGTACTGTTTGTTCCCTCTTTATTTCAAAGAAACCCACAAGTTTTAATCAACATTTTAGAAGAACTTAAACTTGTTAATGAATTACTCAAGATGCCCTTAATAGTTCAAAACCCAGAACTGCAACATGTAGTCAACTTTCAACAAGATTAAGTCTAACAGCCTTCCCTTAACATTTATTCTACATCACTGACCTAACCTGCATTCCTATTGAAAAAGAAGTGCCACATCATTTTTTACTCAAAGTGAATTTTAATTGCATTCATCAACACAAGTCAAAAAAAGCATTTTATTAGTGTTGCTTATGAGCAAGAACTGATATTGACACTCAAATCTTTTCTGAAAAAGAAAGTTCACTGTGCAGAGGGACAGCTCTTGAACTTATGGATTTCACAGAATAATTTTATTTTCAGTTTTAGAAATAATACCCTATTTTTAGGACTTTGACAGAGATTAACTATGTTATGCCAAATTAAGAGTTGCACCAAGTTGCTACAGAGATTTTTTTTTTTTAATCATTTTCAAAACATAAGGATAAGCTTACCTTCAAGTTTAGCTCCATAGTGGTATTTTCCACTACTGAAGTGTGGTAAGGAAAATATAAGTGAGCCCAATCCTAGCATAAATGCTGAGAAAGCAAGCCATCGTGGTTTGTGCCCTCTTTCTCCAAAGAAAGATACAAACAGTGACAGTATACAAAAAGCAATGTCATAGCTTGCAGAGATTAAGCCAGTGAGGGAACTGTTCAACTCATAACGCTTCTCAATTGTTGAAATACTAATGTTAATCAGGCCATTTACCACAATACCTACAAAAGAAAAAGGAGATAGTTAGTCAAAGATACTTTAATTTCATAGAGTTGCAAGGATAAACTTACCATTGTGTGATGGAAGGGTTAAAATGAATATATTTACAAAGCTACATTTTAAGCTATTTATTAGCTTTAAAATCCAGGTATGTAGGGGATTGATACAGTGCCAACTTAAGCCAGCCAAACTGCATAGGACCTATTCAATTTTGTTCTCTCCTGTGGGCATTGAAGATTCAACACTCAAGTATTAAGCCAGCAAAATACCATGCCTCAAACTCTGTTCGTGTATTAAGGTTCCAGATCCAGTTTGAAGCACAGACAGATTTCAAAGAGAATACATTACAGTGTCATAAGATACGGTACACATTAAAAGGAAATTAGTCAAGGTTATGACTTGCATTAGAATACAAGCTATGACTGAAGCAAGTTTAGGACACAGCTTTCAAATGATGATTGTCAAACATCATCTCCTCCCTGCCATCATGAAGGGAAAATACAAGAAGGCTTTTGAACAGACATCCTTCCCTATAATATAAAAATTGTAAAGCTATTTAAAAATGCTTTGCACCTGCTTCAGAGCAACTGAGGCAATTTACTTTAACTGAGAGAAAAAGCTTGCCCTCTGAATCTCAAAGTTCCCTGAAGCAGAAGTATCAGACAACCTAGAGAACAGGCCTTGCATGAGCTGCCCTACTTAGGCACGGCGAACTCCAAAAAACTGATCCAAAAGTAGAAGCGAGCAAGCTGCAATTGCCAGTGCATGCTTATACACACTGTCCATTTTTACAGAAGTGTTGTTTGTAGATACTAACTTGAATCTCCCATCCTGCCTCACATTCTGTTCGTATGTGAAACACCAAGTAGTTAAATTTACAGGAGTTCACTTTTAACAGTCCCAAAATAGGATTCTGTTACAAGTGAGATGAATAGCTGTACTTCATAACAGTGTCAGATAACTTCACAGTAGTCTAATTAAACTGCACCCGTAATAAAATACATACCCTGGAAAAAAGTTAGGAAGTCTTCGAGTCACAGTTGCAAATAAAAGAGTTCTGTAACCTCACAGATGACTGATGAGCATCTCTCATGACACAGGCCCTACAGTTATCCTTCCTCTTTCTAAAAATCAAACACGATTCTTTACTGTCATTCCAAGAACAGAAGGACTGATGGCTGGGATAGCAATGGACTTAAGTTAGTTTTCAACAAGCATTGCACCATCCAGAAGCGCAACTACACAGGACGAACTTCAACAGATCTGCCTAGAGTGCTCTACATATGAAAAAAATTTACTCCAAATCCGTAATCAACCAGCTGTTTTCTTATCAGTGCAATCCCCACCATAACTAAACACTTCAGCTTTCTGTAAGGAGGCAGCTCTCAGCACAGCCTTAATTTTCTAATACCCTACTATGGCCTCTTTATTAAGGATGACAATTTCACCTGTCAGTCTGACCACCACACTTAAATTCATATGGGATCCACAGAAGTACTTGGATATTACTCCACTGCCATTATTTATACATTTGGCAGCTTTCTTCTTTTCTTCTTAAGGAGCATTGACCAAAGAACAATACTAGCATGAAGGAATGAACAAACAAGTTTCTCTCATTTGCCAGCACTTCAAACATTTACTAAGGCCTTAAAGCATTCACATGAAGTAGGTGTGTTATGTGGCAAGTTGATTACAGAACTAGGAGACATTGTCTTTTACCTGTGGTTTAAGTTGTCACCTTTAATTTACATCCTAAAAGCCATAAACCTTGCACTTAATTTTATTGGATAATTAGTTTTCATGTGTAAAAATGCAGGTGTGATGAATGGCAGTATAACTTCTCCAATGCTATCATCTAGGGATTAATCACAAAAGCCTCTTCAGGAAAGATGGAACCTGGCTGATACTAACTTGATCAGAAAAACAAATCCTACAAGGACATCTCAACACTTAAATACTAGTATAGAAATTATTTTTTAACTATTCTCATCAAAAACGTTGTTGTCCTGACACATCTGTTAGTTTAGGAACAGTGTGTACTGACCCACAAAATCCAGATTAATCATAAGCCAACTTCATTTGCTCTAATGAAAAACAAGAGTATTTTTTCTTCATCCATTTAACAGAAAAACATACTCTACAATTATTCTAAGTATGGTGGCTTTAAAGCAGTGGTTCGCAGACACCCAATCAAAAAAGAAAAAAAACAAAAGAGTCCTTCCAGTAACAAATATAATCTCGGTATAAAATACTAGTACTGTCTAAAGTTTTCAGTCAGATTAGACTGGACCAGTCTCAAACAGTGGTTCTGTTTTATTTAATAAAATTATTACTGACATGAGGAATAAACAGTCCTTCTTGTACTCAAAACAGTGAGGTAACTTCTACCTTGTTTGCTACTACAGCTATGAACTGCAACACATCCGGTTATTGTATTACAAGATGCAATCATAGATTTATGCAACTCTAAGTGCCATACAGAAAGCAGGTATTAGTCATGTAACCACATACTATGCAAAGAAGTGTTTTCTATTCTGGAAATACAGGTTTCACATGTACTTGAAACAGAAACAGCCAGAAATGAAGAGTTACGTTTCACCTGGAATCTTTGAGAAGCTGAAATACAGCAAATCAGGTACTAATGATAACAATAACCTCTTTTCTAGGGCAGCTAAAAAATAACTAATAAATACATGCCTTCAGTTAGACACACACGTATGGAAATCTACACACATGTACCAGGTCACTGCAGACAACTACCTACTATGTTCACTCATTGTGTAAAAAGTCTAGTATAACAATTTATATACATCAAAAGTGTGTTAAGGATTACTTCATTGTTCCTCAGCACATCAGGAAATAAACTTTCCTAGAAGTACATTAGCAAGTTTTATAGATATATTTTATCTTCTTCAGTGATGGTTTCTGTAAGTTGGAGGGTAAATTAAATAATTAGACCCAAAGCTAGAGTACAGTAGTAGCTCACAGAACTTCAAAATCCCAGTTGTGTTTTGTATGAACTCTTATCTGAACTCTGAAGCTGCAAGACCTGAATATTTTTGCAGTTTCACATGCAGCACTGAATTTCTTGTCTGAAAATTACTTGTTTTTTCTGCTTCTCAAAGACAGTTGCAACTTGAGTCTTCAGTGCCCAAAGGCAAGGTACTCGTTCAGAAAATCCAGATAACACATCATTAAGAATGCCACAAGGTCTATAACAGCCATGCCTACATCAGCTTTCAAAACAAGCATCCGAAGTTTCCTTACATTAAGGCACTAAATCTGAACTAGATTAGATAGGTACCTCTCTGAGGTCTGGCATACATCTACAGTTAGATAACGGAACCAAGACTCGGATAAGTGGCATAACCAACACCCACAGCATCCTAAGGGGACAGAGATTCTTATGATACAAGACCTTTTTATGATTGGCAACCTATCCACACTAGTAATAACAGATAAAAATTTAAATGATACTGAATGTGTTATTCAGCTGAGCAGATTATCAGATCAGCACAGCAAACCAGATTTTAAGAAATATTGCTATAGCAAATTTGGAAGTGCTGGAAATATTCAAGACGCTTTGTCTAGTGTAATATAATCTGAAACTTTTCAGTGTCACATTCAGGGCATTTTTGGTTGCCTTTCCATATTCTTAAGCTACAAAAATATACGTGCATGATATAAAAGTCTTCCACTTCTCAGCTGCCATTTAAATCTGTTATGTAAGTTCTTCCACCCCTCCCTTTCTTTTTACTATGTTAGAGAAAATACATTTGAGCTAACAGCAGGACAACTGCAACAGCAATCACCTCCTGGTCCTACCAGCTGTAGCATGGCCTTTCAAATACAAGCAAGGAACAACATGCCCTGCCCAAAGCTCCCTAGATACTTATTTTCTAACACAACAGGTGTATGCTAAGAAAAGATCAGATTCTGAACAGGCTGAAATGAGAAAGAGTTCATGGAAACACATACTGAGGGACACTGGTTCTTCTAAGGATTTTCCAAGCAACACAAATAGCAGTCAGATCCTTCTAGGTGTTAAGCAGAATCTCCTGCTCAGCTCTCCTCAGACGGTCCCAGTTACCTCAGTGTCGTTCCAGGCAGCAACACAGCCATCCATATCCATGCTTCTAGTCTTCATATCCATCTTCATATCCTGCTTCTAAGTCTTCAGCATAGGCTGCCTGCTCTTCTAGCACTGAATCTCTTCTTCTGCATCTCCCCCACCCCTCTACAGCAGTCTCATCCTTTATGAGCAACAAGAATGAGCTTTAAAGCCTCATAATTTTTCAGAAAACATTTTCTTTTCTAGCTAGCCCAATAAAGTTGAAGGGTTCTGAACATTAATCCAATAGCTCCATTTGACACCCAAATATCTAAGCTTTACAAACCTCAAGTTTGTACCCTTGGTACACTAATACTTCCCCTCCCTCAGCCATTATTACTACTTTCCAACCCTAAGGCTTGCCAAGGCCCTAACAAATCTTGTTACAGAAAACAAAAAATATGGACAAGACTATCTGAAGCTGAACAACAGAAATTAAGAGCAAGCTAAACTTCAGGTTCCCCCCAAGGTTAAGTTAAGCTGTTAGTTCTAAGTGTTAGACAGATGGCTGCACTGGGATCCACAGATCAAAACCAGTTTTTTTTAAAGCCATCTTAATCACCCAAAGTCCCACCCAACCATGCCAAGGTACTTTTTTAATTGGCAGGAAGTACATGCTAAGGCACTACAGTTTTGTCTATTGGTTTATATCATGTGTTTTATTCCGTGGCTCCTATGTCTCAACCTGTGAGGCGCATATGGAGCAATACCTCCCTGTGAGCAGTGGGGACACAGTGTAGGCAAGAGCATGAAGCACAGAGCTTGATGGGACCACAGACAAAAAGTAGTCAAAAAGGTAAGCGGGAAAAGAAAAAAAGGAGGAACAGAGTGAAGTACAAGGAGTAATACTGTATGAGCAACTTCCCTACCCAGGGCACTAGGGTACTTTCTTTCCCTTGTGAAACCACTACTGTCACTCTTCAGCAACAGCACCAGACTCGGGCAGCTGGAGGAACTCTGCCCCCCCTCACCCACCACCCGAATCGCCACCACTCTTCCCCTGCCTTCCCCCGCCGCTCCAGGATGGAGAGCAAGATGCACCCAGGGCAGCGGAAGGCCTGCAGGGGCCGGGTCCCACAGGGAAGGTGAAGAGGAGGGCAGCAGCCCTGCGGCTCAGGGCAAGGTGGTGGGGACGGGTTACCTTGGAAGATAGCCAGGAGGCTGTAGGCAGCCAGGTAGCCCTCAGGGTTGTTGCAGAGCTGCAGAGCCTTAGGGGCGCAGCGGCCCCC